AGACATGCTAGCTTCTCCTTATTGTTTTGAATGCTATTCTAGAAGGTCTGAATCTGGATCTTGTGTGACAATTTCCATTCCAATCATGTGTTTCCAGTGTAACAGCATCTCTTCCTCTTTTCTCCCCAATCTTCTCCTGCCTCTTCATCATTGTTATATGTGTAATGTTGGCTGACGCTACATTTGGATGTACAGGGAAAACATAGTTTCTTGACTTTTCTATTATTGACCAAAGCTTCATCAGCCCCCATCTCATTGGGAGTTGGAAAAGCAAACTTACACTTAGCTATTAATGACATATAGTCTTTTTGAACTTAAGTAGACTTCCTTCAGTTTAAATCACCCACTTTCAGAAAAATAAAGTCTTTTGGATTTCAGTCCCTGCCCCCTACTCCTTCCCAATATGATGGAGCTTCCATGACCTCATGTTGGAGGCGGGCAGAAGGAACACTCAGATCAGGTGCTGTTATATGGATTCTGGATCCTTGCTGGCCTGCTGTAGGATGGATTGCTGAGGAATAATGGGTCCCATCTTGTCTTTCAGAGTCTGTGGTTCTGGCCACTTGTTCTTAATTGCAAAGGCCCCACACATAATGGCCTCTTTGACCCAACCCCAGGCTTCTGTCCACCCATTTGTGACCTCAACTGGAGCACATAGGAATTTATAGATCCCTGCATTTTACTGCTTGCTGTGGGGTGTCAAGGCACTACCTCAGACTCCTCTATCTTGCAGCCTCCTCTACTGCTGTTGCACCTCTCTCTGGGCCATATTCAGGGCTCCTCTTAGAGCTCTGGGGCCTCCCCTACTGATCTTGGGCAAACATTTCATTGGTGCCTCCCTGCCGCATGATCTTAGGCTTCCCTGTACCTTAGATGCTTGTATTGCATCCATACCTCCACCACCTAGATTTAGCCTCTGAAAGAGAAAGCTAGGACAAATGCATCTGGTCTTCAACTAACTTCTGTTTCTTTCTTTCCACCATCATTGGGACTGGAAGGAGTGGGCTCTGTTTTCCTCTTCCTCTATGGAAGGGACTTCCTCTACATCATAGTCTCCTTCCTGAGGGTCATTACACTTCCTGTCTCAAGCTTAACGGTGCAAGGGCATCCTCTATACTATGGAAGAAATTCTGTGATTTGAGCTGGCCAGGTACTATTGGGATTCCAAATGACTAGAGACTTGGGATCACAGAAAATAAAAATACTCTGGTTTGATAATTCCAAAATATTATATCCATTACACATGACACAATGTTCTGGATTCATCTAGGATAAATTCTGTTCCCACAATTAATCATTCTAAAAATAACAGCTAATGTCTATTGACTGCTTATGATGTGCTAGGCATTTTTCTAAGATATATATTTAATCCACATAAAATCCTATGAGGCAAGTACTATTATTATTCCCATTTTACAAATGAGAAATAAGGCCTGGATAAGCGGTAAGGTATCTTTCCAAAGTCACATGGTTAAGTAAACATTACTATTTGAATCTGATTCTGTCTGATTGTGCATCCCAGGCTCATTCAGTCCACCCCCATCCCCAGGCTCTTTCTTCAGTCTGCTGCCTGAGTCTGTTCTCCCCTTAAACACTCTGCATTCTATGTGCCCATCAAACCAAACTATGCCTCTTCCGCTTAGATTCCATCTCCTTTCCCCTCTTCTATGTCTTTGCTCATTCTGTTCCCTTTGCCTGGGATACCCTTTCCCCACCATTCCCCATCTTCCAGGGCTCTGCCTAATTCCCTCTCTACCCCAAACTTTCTCTGATCCCCACGGCTGGAAGGAACCTGTCTTTTAAATTCTCTCCATTTTTGTGCTTACAGTGTCTCTCCAGTATCTCAACTTCAATATAGAATTAATCTTGTATTATTTCAAGAGTCACTTTCAGATTCAGGTTTGCTTCCTCATGATCTTTGTCCCTCCACAGCAGCCAGCATAGAGACTGAGTGGTTGGAAAACCCTTTTCTGCACACACTGGACCATCCCTGCCGCAGATTTCAGTCAAAGGATTAGGTTGGGAACTTGCCTAGGAGCTGGATCCGGAGCCGGGAACCTTAGGTCAGCATTAAATGAGATTCCGGAGACAACCTCTTCCATCTCAGCCTGTGACTCATACAGGGAAAACCAGTACAAGGAGTCAACAAAGGGATGCAAGGACCTTGTGTCTACACAGCCTTCTGTTCCAAGGGCTGACCTCCCGGCTTCTTGGAGGCAACCCCCTTGCCTACTTTCCTGTTCAGTGATTAACTTATTCTCTCTAAGTTCCAATGAATCCCTCGCCTCTCACCAATTTGTTATATCTGAAAAAAGTGCCAAAAGCTTTTTTTTCACACTAGTTTCTCTTGGAAAAATTGCCCTGTTTTTGGAGCTCTTTGAGCATCCATAAAGTAGTAAGTGGTTCAGGCAACTGCAGGAGGCGATGTGTGGCCTGGTTGGCATACCTCAGGAGAGAGGCAGACCTGGGGACTGGAAGGCATCTGGCTCCTGGGAGGCACGAAGAATGACCGCTGCTTGGGGTTACCCAGCAGGAACTTGTGTGAAAATCGCACACTTTGTCTTGGGTGGCCCCCGACTTGCTTTGTCTTTGAACGTGAGCAAGCCTTCTTCCACCGCCTGCTTTTCCTGGGGCCTAAGGTCGCCTCTCATCACAATCTGCTTCCCCACATGGCTCTAGCTTTCCTCCCAAATAGCTCCGTGTACATTCAAGGCAAATGTGTTCAGACCTCCCCCAGTGGCGGCATTTCTCTTACTAGGGGAAAACAAAGGCAGGAGCAGTGGAGTGGCCCCGGTGTAACCGGTGTAATTCTCTCTGGTTTCTCTGGAATCCTGGAGTCTGGATCATGAAGTCACTTGGATGGGACTCACTCTTGGCTTGCCAGAGGAAGGGAAGGTGTCTTTTGTGCAGCTTAAGATTCTCAGGGGAGGTCAGAAACCAACTTAAATGGCTCTGTAAGCAGTTTTAGTGTGGGCCCCCTCCTTTGGACTCAGGAGGGCAGTTATTAAGTGCAGTTCACTGGACCAGAGTGGGACCTTGGGCAATGTTTTGGCCCTGGCAAGTGTTAGCTGTGTTCTTAAGCAGGTCATTTCCTCATTTGGAATTCAGATCTCCTTGCCTAAGAAAGGAGTGAGTTGAATTATGTTTTTAAAAGGCCTTTTCCTGCTCTGGCATCCTATTGGGTGTGTGTCATCTTGAGCCCACGAGAGAGATAATGGTTAAATTGAGGAGATATGTTTCAAAGCCATCATTTTCCCCTAGAAATAAAACTTGCTTTAAGTTTTCTAATCACCTCCCACATGTCACATTTTCCTTCATAAGTCTAGAATTGGGTATTATGCCTGAAGGGCCAAAATCCATCTTTTGATTTCTTCAATTTGCGAACTTATTTTAGATGTTGGATGCTGAAAGAAAAATCTCTAATAGCTTACTCACGAAGTGATCTTTTCTCTTATTCTGGCCGAGGAAATGGATCTGTTTTGCCAAATGTGATTAAAATTTCAGTATATAACAATATGTGCAAATTTTTACATATCTTATCACATTAAAAGTATCTTAAGCTTACCATTAACTAGTCTTGAGAGGAAAAGGGTAAACACTAGTGCAATTAATTTATTACCTTAACACCAGTTAGATGAATGAACAGTCTCCATGCAAACAGCAGTTTTCATTAAACAAACGAGAAGATTTTAAAATGAATAGGGTAACATAGGCGTGGAGTAGTGGTTCTTTGCATATTTGCATGCGTGGATACACTCCTGGGCTGTAAGCTTGAGGGATGTAACCAAGATGAGGCTGGTTGCTGGTATGAGCTGCCCCTGTTCTAAAAATGCCTTCAGCAAGTTCCTTCTGATTCAGTGTTGAACTGTTTAGATGGCTATCACTTCATTTATATCTACGTACGCTAACATATACAAAAGATTAGTAGAAAAAAATGCCTGACCACTGTGGTTAAGATTCCACATGTTAATTATTTCATTTGATAACAACCTAACACTTTTATTCACTAGAAAATCACAAATACACACTAATATTTACAAAAGTCATTTCAGTTAAATTTAAATGAAGGGAGGATGGTACATTTTAGGATAAAAAGGAAAAAGGGGCTGAATTCTTTTGACGGACACAACTGGTACACAGTCTACTCTTAAAGAATCTTCTAATTAGAAGAAGAGTCAGGATGGGGGTAATAAATAAAAATAGTTATTATTATATTTGTAAAAATGCAGATAACCCCAAATACTTACTTGCTTGGCTTTAGAATGCATTGCGTAATTTTGTAAAATCAGAATTTACAAACATTTGGCTTAGGCTAATATTAAAGTGAGTTTTCATTTTCTGAGGGTACAATGATTGGGCTGAAAGTGAGCCTGCTGGGTGGTGATGGAAGAAAATGTTGGTTGAAACTTCATTGTTGGATAAACAAACCAACAATTACTTTAAAACACACACAAGCAAACAATTAAATAATCCCTTCTCCATAGAAAAGTAGGAGTTGTCCAAATGTGAGTCATTTGGGTCAATCCCAAACCAGGTACCATGTGTATGGTCTCTGCTTCAAAATGAATCAGGAAGAAATGAGGACAGATATGCACAATCAGCACGGATGTGCACTAATACGAACAGATGTGTGCAGGCCTGGGGTGTGCTGTGTGTTTGGCAACATGCGGGGAAGACTGTCAGTACTTCTAGGACCACAGGGATGCTGAAAGTCGGGGCGTGGGGGGAGGGTGGTGATCACTGAGCCTCTAGGTTATGTCTTCCTGATATAACCCAGGACAGGGATTCCTTTTTTGTGCCAGTATAGATGGGCTGCACTGTGAAGAGTTCAGGGGGCTCTGGTCCAAAGAATAGGAATGAAAAAGTGGGAGTGTTTTTCCAGAATAAGAGACAGTGGATGGGGTTTACCTTGTCCAAAGTGTTCAATATCACTTATCCATTGTTACCACTTATATAGTTAAAAGCACTTTCATAAACTGTGACCTCAATGGGCTCTCCCAACAGTCCTGTAACGTAGGCAGAGAAGATATTTTCATCATCCCTATTCCACTGAAGCAAAACTGAGATGCAGAGGAAGTAAACATCTAGGTCACATGAATCTGAGAGTTAGGACTTAAACCCAGGTCTTTGGATTCCAAGTAGAGCTCATCTTTGCAAAAGAGGGCATGTTCTAGAAAAGTGGTCCAGGACTTAGCAAAATGGCCAAACAGATTATGTTCATTGCCATTGGCAAGCTCCACCCCTTTCCCTCTCCCCTTCCTCCCTGACACTAGAGCCCCTGAAATCCTTTACATTAAAGTGTCAGGAACTGGATGTGTTCCTCATTTCAGGATTGTCTGTCTTCACCCAAAAGAATGATGAGCTTTCAAGCATCAGTGGAAAAGAGATTTTTTGGTTCTTTCCTTTGAAATTGCACCATTATAGATAACCAATGACCTGGTATGAAAAAAAATTCTTTTCTGGCAGCCAGAATCCTAGAGAATGTCCTAGGGAGGTAGTAGGAGCTGGGTGGGAAAGCTCAATGTGATGGCATGAACTCTCTTCCCATGAGGCTGTAAACCCTACACTCTGATGAACTTATGCTTACTATTCCATCCTGTCTAAGTGCCTTATTCTATGGCCTTTTGCCATCCCTGCACTGACAAGATATAGAATGAGGGAAGATGAGGAATGAGTCCAGATACCATTTGTGGCTTCTGTCTGACCATCTACACATCTGGATACAGCTTGGTGACTCTCATAGCTTCCACCATTTTGTTTTGTTATTTTAACGTTTTTGCACACAGTAGGTCATTAGTAAATGTCAGCTCCTGTTGCCCTTGTCTAACCTCATTGGTGTGGCTTGCACACAGTAGGTGTTGAGCAGATATCAGTAAATGTTAGCTGCTGCGGTTTGCGTCTAGTCTCATTGCGTGTTATGACCAAGAAGCATCCAGCTCCTTGAGGGCAGTGAGGTGTAAAGACAGTCACCCTTTCCCTGTGGAGCCTGTGAACTTGGTTATTGGTGAATTGTGCTCTGAGTACTGGCTTTTGGATTTTCAGTTGTGAAACACCAGTGGGTCACTTCAGCCTGATACAGTCCACCTCTTCTGTGGCCGGCATGCCGCTGGTTTTGAGGTCGAGGTCGGCGCTGGACTTGCTCCCGTGGTGGGAGGGACGCCAGTGGAGCAGCATCATCTTCTTGAAGTACTTCATGCTGTTGTTCTTGACGGTCACGAAGCAAATGGTGTTGATCATGCTGTTGCTCATGGCGATGCACTCGACGACGTAGAAGGCGGTGAGGTAGTGCTTCTCCTTCACGAACACGGTGGGGAAGAAGTCGCGCACGATGGTGAAGCCGTAGAACGGCGCCCAGCACAGCACGTAGGCCGTGAGGATGCCCATGAGCACCAGCACCGTCTTCCGGCGGCAGCGCAGCCGCTTCCGGATCTGCTCCGTCTGGACACCAGGGACCGCCTTGAACCACAGCTCCTGCGAGATCCTGGCGTAGCACAGGGTCATGGTGACCACAGGGACCACGAACTCGATGCTGAAGATGAAGAGGGAGTAAGACTTATAGTAGAGCTGCTGGTCCACGGGCCAGATCTGACCGCAGAAGATCTTTTCCTGGCTTTTGACGATAAAGAGGACAGTTTCTGTTGCAAAGTAGGCTGACGGGATGGCGATGAGAATGGACACCATCCAGACCAAAGCGATCAGGAAGGAGGCCGTTTGATAATTCATCCGTGGTTTCAAGGGGTGAACGATAGCGAGATACCTGGTGGGAGAAGGAAGCCATCAATAATAATAGTGTGTGCTGGGAAACATTATCAGTTTTTAACTAACCCCAAACACACACAAAAGCAGACAAAATGGCAGGAGTCCCCATGTACCTATTACCTAGCTTCAACAAGCTTCATCTTATTTTAGCGACATCATTTGGCATCTGGAGTAAGGGAGTGGTTTAGTGGACACAGCACAGGCTTTGGGTCAAACAAATGGAATAAATCCCAGCTTTTCTCCTCATTGGCTTTGGGGTCTGGAGTGAATCACTCTCTCTGAGATTCATTTCATCCAATGCAGCAGGGGATAAAATGACACCTACCTTGCAGGGCTGCTGTGAACATTAGATATGATTTTGTAAAATGCTTGGCATGTAGTAAGTGTTCAATAAATACATGTGGCCTATTATTATGAGTCCTACTGATACCACCTTGGCTTTCAATATTGCCCTTCTGCCTAAGAACTAATAATACTTTCAAAACTCTTCATTCCAAATAGCTCCTGGTTTAGAGGTGAAAGAAGGGCTGTGGACCTCAAAGAGAGGTGGGGGCCATTCTCAGGGCAGTGGACTAAGGCTTTCTCTCTCCTCCCTGCAGGTGTCATCCTGTATTACAGAGCAGGAGAGCAGGGGTGGGCCTGGGGTGGAATCTAAGGAATCTAACGAGAAGTAAATGACTTGCCCAAGCTCACTTGGCGTAGGGACCAGAATCCAGGCTCCTGATACAAAGCTTTTACACCCACCTCTCTGGGCTATCTCAAGCTCAGATGAGAAGGTGTGTGAAGTCGCCTTGACACCATAAAGCACCACACAGCATAAGGCTTTTCTCCTGTTCTTTCCAATGAGCAACACTGCCTGGAAAGAGGTTCGAGTCCTTTGTGGGAAATGAGCTCATTTGTGAAGGCTGAATACCTACTTTCCAGAGAGACCTAATGACACTTATTTAGATACTTTGGTGCCCTGGAATCATTTCTGTGCATTTAATAGGGGGAGGGGAAGAGGTCGTAGGAGAAGGTGGAGGAAGGGAAGAGGCATGAGGGGCAGAGAAGAAACAATTCCACCCTGGAAATGTACACGTGTGCCACACTTGGATCTTGAGTCAAGTTGTGACCAAAAAGCAGGAAGCTGTCTGTTGAAAATCCTAATCAACTTACCTTTCCTTTGTAACCAGACCCTTTGGTCACCTTTCCAAGTTTCTGACTCAACCAAGAAGGCTTTCTGCCATATTATTTCTGCCTGTCCCCAGCAATATTTCTGTCATAAGGTTGTTTTATCTTCTCTTGCCTGCCCCCTGCCCAATGGCGGCTCTGACCTGTAGAATTCAATTAGGAAATCCCATGGCATCACGGCTCTCCCCAGCTTGCAGCTTTCTGAACATCTGAGATGTGGTTGGATCCTATCCCAACCATTGGCTGCACCCCAGCTGGATGTATTAATATGAGCAGTGGTTGCTGGACTTCTTCACCCATCCATGGGACCCAGCCTTAACAAGTTAATCTGCATGACTTGCCTGGGTGGCACAAAGCTCACAGGGCTGGAGAGTGGGGCAAATGGGCTGGCCCATGCTTGACTGGAGCAGGGACATCCCACAATTACTGTCTCTCCGTGATGGCTGAGTGTATTAGCTTCCTGTTGCTGCTGTAACAAATTATCACCAATTTAGTGGCTTAAACTTCACAAATTTATTATCCTACAGTTTTGGAGGTCAGAAGTGTGACATGGTTTTCACTGGGCTAAAATCAAGGTATTGGTAGGGCATGTTCCCTTTTGGAGGCTCTGAGAGTAGAATCTTTTCTTTTTCCCCCCTTTTCTAGGGCTGCCTGCATTCCTTGGCTCATGGCCCCCTTCTGTGTTCAAAGCCATCAATGACCAGTCAAGCCTTTCTTACATCTCATCACTCTGACACTCTGACATTGACTCTTCTGCCTCCTTCTTCCACATTTAAGGACTTTTGTGATAACATTGTGCCCACCCAGATAATCCAGTATAATTTCTCTAAGATCAGCTAATTAGCAACCTTAATTCCATCTGCTGCCTTAATTCCCCTGTGGCATGTAACATAACACATTCATAGGTTCTGGGGTTTAGAATGTGGATATCTTGGGAGGGGGGCATTATTCTGCTTACCATACTGAGTCCAAAGTCCCTAGATAACGCAGAACTCTTTCAGGACTTAATAGCTTTCTCTCTCAATCTGGTTCCAGCATGAAAAGTAGCTCAATAACCAATGCCAAAAAGAATTTCCACATTTCTGCTTACTCTGTTGTTAACACTCAAATTCTAATTTCTTTTCATCTAATAACATCTTCCTCATTCTGTAGCATGTTCCAAAATTCAGAGTTGTCATCAAATAAATCAGAAAAAACAATATTCAGAAGACTTGGATTCCAGCTGTGCCTGTGAATCCAAGCTGTGCACTGGATAAATCACTTATGCTCCTGGGACTTAGTTTCTTCATTTGTGAAATGGGGATAATAATAACTTTACCGACACCCCTTCAGGTTTTTTGTCAGGTTCTGAGAAGGTAAATGTACATAAGGCATGTAGGAAGCTATAGTACTTTGTTTAAACTGATCATTTCCCATAACTCATTCATCGGCTAGAGGGTCATTGTCAAGATCTTTGTTGCCATCTATCTGCTTGGATGTATTTCTGAGGTCAATACTCTCCTTCTAGGGTTTCTATGACTTGAAACAACATCTCTTCCAGGCCCTCTGCACATGAACCTTGCTCTTCTTCTGGCTATGGCATCCAGAAATGGCAGTAGGTAGCCCTTCTGATATTTTTACATAGTAGGAGAAGCATATTTTACCAAGGGATAAACTGAACCGCACAGGGAGGTCTATGCTTCTCCCACCCTGCCTGTGTCAGGGTGCACACGCCTATCTACTTCTGAGTACGAAGTAGTCCCCGTGCCCACAGAGAAAAGCCCAGTTATCCAATATCAGTGTCATCAGGGCAAAAGCGAGTTTGGTCATCCATCTTTCTTATCATCTTGCCTTATTTTTCAATGAGTTTAGAACCTGAGTGAGAAAGGGGGCTGCTGTTTGTTAGGCTCCTACATTGTAAAGCCTGAAATTCCATGGGCTGCCTTGACATCTTTGAACTTCACAGGGCCCCAAACGCCTAGCCGTGAGTTCCTCTGTTCTCCCCAGATACACCCCTCCACCCAGCGAGAAAGGCTTTCTGTCCTGCTCGTTCCTTTATCAGCTAGACCAGCTGCACCCCCAATCCTCAACCTAATGGGTTTCACCTTCCTGCCAGTTGGCAAAATTATTCAAACAAGCCAATCACCTCCTCTATGGGAGTCAAGGGTCACCCCATCCTCTTGTCATTATGAAGCCCACCTCCCACAGCCCCTGCTGGTTCATTCTATTCCTGAGTGCAACTCCCATGTGGCCCTGCATGGTGTACAATGTCCTTCTTCCCTGGGCTGTCAGTATATGGGTCTAATTAACTGCTGTCGGTCTCATCTGCCCAGTGTCAGGTGTTGTGCATTTGGTCATCTTGTACTATTTAGGGCAAGAGAATCCTGCCTTCGGCAATGGCATAAATAGGAGGTGGTCGGAATAGCACACTTGAATTTCAACATCTTCATGAAGCATTCCCAGACTACGTCAGTAACATAATGATCACGTCTTCCTTCAAGTTACTCTTATCACTTGATTAATCTAGTTTTTATTGGAAGAAAAGCTTCTTGAGGGCAAAGACTATATCTTCTACTTTATGTTTCCATATACACAGGTTGGGCACACAGAAGGATCAGCAGCATCTGTGGCTTTACGAGGTTGTAGCAGACACTGCTGGTGCCCCTCTCATATCCCTTTGCTCTTATCACTTCAGTGCACACCTGTCCACTCTCAGCTGCCAACACCTGCACTTCTTTGTCTGAAGGCCTTCTCTGGCTTCTAGAGTCCTCTTGGACCTGCACAGCATTTTCAGACTAGCCCTCACCAATGACTTGTGAGAGCAGGTGTATAAATACCCCAGCTCCCTCCCACCTCCCACTCCTGGATGAATACTGAGGTCTGATCTACATCTGCTGCAAGCATTCCTCAGCAGAAATGAGCTCTAGTTGCCCACAGTGGAGACTTGCTCAGTAACACACCCATATTGACTGCCTTCCTTTGCCTGCCTCAATTCCCAGCCCCATAGGTGCTCCCTGGCTGCTACTTGCACATGAATCCTTGTCTCAGAGTCTATTTTGGGAGTAAACCAAATTAAGACACAGGTATAAGGCTCTGTGCTAGCCACTGTGAAGACAGAAAGATAGAAGACATGGTTATTGTGCTTAAAATATAATATCCTTTGGAAAAGATATCTGTATCTCCATACATAGCATGAGATTGGAAAGATAGGTTGGCATCAGATTGTAAAGGCTCTGTGATACTAGATTCAGGATTTGGCATGTATTCTGTAGGTACTGGAACTTTTAGAGGTTTTGTAAGCAATGGAATATTTTAGGAAGACTCATCAATGGGTGATACTCTGATGCTTAATATGGATGAGTATGGATTTCAGGGGACAGTCAGGAGCCTCTGAGGGGGTGAAGAGACACGTTAGAGGAGCATTATAATGGCCCAGCCATGGCTTGCCAAGAGATGAGGTTGGAGGGACAACTGCCAGGATTTGGTGGAGGGCTGAACACAAAGGGTGGGTGGGTGGTGGTGGAACAGGGAGAAAGGCAAAGAATGATGGTGATTTTCCTGCTTGGGTCCCTGGAGGAATGGTGGAACTGCTGATGGAGCTGGGAAGCTGATGGGGGCAGAGCTGGTTTGGAGTGAAAAGGAACCACTCATTGTTACCTGTTGTAACAGGATGGTTGCTTCCTAAGAAACTCTTGTGTTATCAAAAAAACCCCTACATTATAAAGACAAAGGTTTCAACGGGACAAAGGGGATGAAAACAGTGATGACTCTCACTTGAGTGAGCACCAGAATCACTCAGGGAATTGGATAAAAATGCAGGGATTCCTGGGACCTAGCCCAAGGGAGTCTCATTCCGTAGGGCTGGGGTGGGGCCCAGAAATCTGACTTTGTATCATTTCCCCTGGGGAATTTTGTGCAGTTGGTTGATAGGTACATTTCATAAACACTGGTTTCAGGTCTTGAGAGCCTCAGAGTTGTAATAACAAAATTTCTTTTCCTGCAGGAATTATGTTATTAAAAGGAAGATGCCTCTTATACCTGTATGTGTATTTTATTATCATAAATGAAAAATAATCAGCTGGTTGATTAAAAAGGACAACAAACCTAAATAGCACTGAGAACAAGGGAAAAACGGAAGAGACGAAAGGAGACAAAAGGGAAAAAAGATGATTAAAAAACACCTCATCAAAATGAGTTTCAGCACAGCTCACAATGGTGGACCAGGAGGATGTGACACCAATTTCCTCCCTCAAACTGAGCCACTGGTGGTCTGATGCTGGCCTACCACTGTTTACATAAATAAAACATGTGTCAGATTTGTCATAAGCTGCTATTAGAGATTTTACTTTATAAATCTATAATAGAGCAAGGACTTCCAGAACTTCTCATGTAAATGTATGTAAATGAGCACATGGATGTATGTGAAAAAGGAAAGGCAAGCATGTCCTTCCCTGTTTCCTGCAAACAAGCCCTGCTGTCTTATTTTAAAATCAGCTGTGCAACAAAATCACTAGAAACAAAAGTACATACTGTACAATTCCATTTTTATGAAGTTGAAGAACAGGCAAAACTAAGCTATGATGATAGAAATCAGATGAGTGGTTGCCTGGGGTGGAGGACTGGTAAGGGGCCCAAGGAAGTTTTCCAGGTGATGGAAATGTTCTGTATCTTGATCTGGGTAGTGGTTACAGGAAAAGTTGGCACATGCTGTCTTGGCTGGAACCTGCCCTGGTTAACTCTAACGTGGCTTCTAAATAGTGCTCCCTGATCTTACTGCTTTTGCCTTTGTGTTTGATGCCACTCACGGTCATATGAAATGCCTATATCTGAAACAGATGTAGTATTTGGGGGCATGGCCCAGAGCTGGGGGGCTCAGGAGCCTGACTCTTGCCCATATTTGGAAGAACATGAGCCACAACTGGAGAAACCAGATCTCCTCTTGCCCTGAGACAGATCAGCAAGCATTCAAATCTGGAGGAATGCCAACCTGCCAGAGCTCAAGTGAGGAAAGAGGCAGCACAGTCCTGCCCTCCACCTTTACCCTTGCCCAACATCCCTACCTGTCGATGGCGATGGCCAGTAGGGCATTGGTGGAGACATAGAGTGAGACAGTACGCAGGTAGTTGATGGAGGCACAGAGCACGTGGCCGTGCTCCCAAGAGAGCTGGCGTACCACATAGTAGTCCATCTCAAAGGGGCAGCAGATGATGGCTACCAGGAAGTCGGAAATGGCCAGGTTAGCAATGAGCAGGTTGGTGAGGTTGCGCAGCTTCTTATAGCGGGCGAGGGCAGCAATAAAGACAAAATTGCCAACGCCACAAACCAGCATGATGCCTGCCAGCGCCACACCGATGACAATCTTGGCTGCAAAGAACGTCCGAGTCTTGGTCATGTCCTCCTCCTCATCCAGAGGGAGGTCGTAATCACCATAACTGAAGTTGAAGGGGAGGGAAGAAGCATGGTCTTGGGGTGGATTGAAGTTGGCTGCAAAACTAGTGTTTCCATTCTGGGCTGCCATGGTGAAGCTGGCAGGGAGTCTTGGGGGTCTGAGCACTCTGAGTTGGGGGTCCAGACCTTCTGCTGTCACAAGGTCTAGCACTCGGCCCACATCCTTGGGGAATCAACACGCCATCCGGGATCCTGGAAGGAGACACATCCAGTGGACAACACGCAGAACACCTGGTAGTATTCCCCCAGAGGCCCCAGGTATAGGCCACCCAGACCCAGGGCCTCCCCCGTACTACCCAAGGTACGGGGGAGAGGAGACATGAGATGGGGAAATTGGGAAACCCTCCACTGGCTGGCTGACTGTCAGGAGGGACTGGGCATAGGATGGACTGGACTCTTCGGAGACACCCAAGAACATGCATCTTTGCCCTGTTCCCAGGGGCCACCAGGACCAGCTTGACTGCCCAGTCCCCCCACGCCCCACGCCCCCATTAACCCTCACTGGGGTCTTCTGGAGGTTTCCCAAGGCTGCTCCAGGCCACTGGCCCAGGCTTCTATGGTAGTCACAATGTCGCACCATCTATTGGCCAGCGACAGTGAAGCTGGAGGATGGGATACAGCAGGGTCTTTCCTTCAAAGCAGGGCACTGCTCCCTCGGTCTTGGACAAACCACAGATTTGGAAATCACCAAATCTATTTTCACTTAGACGAGCTGAGTCATCTTGGGCCAGTGATTTATGCTCTCTGAATCCCAATGTTTCTGTAAACCAAATTCCTGCTGCCCAGCCCAGGGCTGGGCACATACTAGGGGCTGGATAGGAATCGGCTGAATGAATGAATGAGGATCCCGACCAGGATTCTGCAGTGATCTGGTTTCTCCAGTTGTGGCCCATGTTCTCCCTTGCACTTGCACTTCTGCGCTCTCACACCTGGGTGTGAATGGGAGGGGGTGGGACGGAATTCTCTGGCTGTTCCCCTGAGTTTTGAGAACCAGCTCTAGGAAGAAATCCTTTGTCTGCTTCCCTCCCTGCCCCACTCTTTTGATCTGCTCCCTTGTCCCCTTCACCAGGCCCCTAGTTCCCCTCCCAGAATCAGCCCTGACTGAGATGCACCACGTTCTGTCACCAAGCTCTGTGTTCTCTGAAAGTGGTGGCTGCTCCAAGACCTGGCTTAACTTAAAACAGCCCCCAAAGGGAGGGGAGAGTGTCAGTGAGGACCCAGGAGGGCCTGAGGGCTGAACTGTCCCTCATTGCCTAAGTCCTTTATATTTTCGGTGCCTCAAGATGCCCACGGGAGAGGAAATAAAGTCTCTTAAGTACTGAGCCCTCAGAGGATAGGGCACCATTGGGTTCAAGGCGTCAGAGAGGCTGGAAACACAACCCGGACCCCCAACACGCGCGGAATGGGGGCCCCAGCCGTCCAGCCACCAAGCACCTTTCCCCTCCCCCAACTCGTAGCACACCTGGAAACGACTCCAAGTGTAGGGCCGCGGGATGCGGGTAACATGAAGCGGACCAAACCGGGCAGTGGGTTTGGCCTGGCCCTGTGAGAGGAGGGGGAGAGTGACGGACAGGAACTGCCCCCCAGAAAGGACAGCAGTCGTTGGGTGGCAGGGACACTCCAACCTGCGGCGCGCCTGCCTGCTGCGTACCCGAGGTGAGGTCAAGACCGCAGCCGGCGGTGTCTTCCCTCCGGGTCGCCTGTCCGTCTCACGCGAGGCCCCAACCCCCGCAAACAGTGCTCAATCCGAGACGGAGAAGCGGGAGTCACGCTCTCTCGGCTTCTGCGCTTCGGGGCTCTCCAGTCCCTGGACCCGAGAGCAGAGGGCTTGCGCCAAGGCTGGGGCAGGTCCCCGCCCCATTTTTGCGGGATGCACTCCCTGCCCTTGACTGACCCGCTCCAGGAGGCTCCTCGCTTCCCCTCTTTTATTAACCACGCAGCGCCGCCTTAGCAGAGGCGGGAATCAGAAATTCAGGCTCAAAAAGCAAACCATACAGGGCCCCCGGGGGTAGGGGGAGAATTTTCCCAGAGACGCTTCCTCTTTTCTGCTCACCTTTCGGGAAGGCGCTCCCTACCCACGCCCTCCTCTGCAATTTGGCGCTCGCCCGCCAGCCCAGCTGCATGCTGGCTCCCTCCGCCCGCGCCGGCACACCCCAGTCCCAGCTTACAGTCGCCTGACGGGTCCGCGCGGGTCCGTGCGGTTGGGGCAGAATCTCCCGGCCGCAACTCCTCTACTTCGAGCCAGCCTGGGCTCATCCCGAGAGCGGCGGGAGGCAAAGCAGCACGAATCCCCAGGAGAAAGAAGTATGCGTCGGAGCTCCCACCCCGGGCGACGCCCCCCGCCCCACCGATGGAGTCACCGGACTGCGCGGAGCTCAGCACGTACCTGCCTCGGCGCCACGTCCCCGCGCCCTCCGACGCCGGGGCGACCCGAGCGAGTGGCACGGGCCGGGCCGCTCCGGTCCCGCCTCGGGGACCTGGACTTACACTTGCAGAGACACTGCGTAGGGGGTGTCCTTCTTTCTTTCTCGCCCCAGGGCGCCTCCCGGGCGCGTTTCGGTCTCTGTCTTCCCGCTGGAGGAGGCGCTCCGCCCCCGCAGCTCTTCCTGGCGCCTCGGACCTGGCACGGTGCGCCCCGCCCCGCGCTCGACTCCGCCCCGGGGTCACTCTACTGCCTCCGCGCCGAGGCAGAGGATGGGCGCTCAGCTCCTGCACCCGGTGCGCCCAGGGAGCGAGGCGCACGGTGCTCTGACCGAGTTGGCGCGGATCCCCGGTCCGCGGGGTTGGCTCTTCGCTGGGGTTTCTGTGCCCTCGCACCCGGGTGTGAACGGGACCGCTGAAGCCGGGTTTAGATGGTGCGATTCCGAGGAACTGACAAGGCCCTCTGCGCCCCGCGGTGGCGCCTCATGATGGGAGCCCAGCGTCCAGTCGTCGGCAGGAGCTCAGTGCCAGCGTCCGTTCCCGCTACAAGGTGACTCCTTCAGGAGGATCCCGAGGTGCATTCCTTCGTGCCCGAGAGCTGATGCTGGGGAGACTCCAATGAGTGCAGGGTGGGCCTCTAGGGATGGGTGATGGTGGAGGGAGGGGCCCTGCGGGAGGAAGCTGCGCATCGGGGGCAGCTTGCCCTGCTCAAAGCTCCGACCCTGAAGTCCTGTCCACGAACCTGTGATGCACACCACTGCCAAGTTCTTGGGCCATTCCAAGACCATCCCGGTTGGGCCTCTGCCTGTCTGTCGGGAGACTCCGGACTCCCCACTTTGCTTCCAACAGGCTCTGATTTTAGGCAATTTCCATTACCTCTTTGGTCCTTGGTTTCCTTATATGTATATTGAGCGAGAGGATTAAACTCTCAGGACCCGCTAATTCTAATGACTGATAGCTGGAAAGCACAGAGGGAAGCTCTGGGTTTACAGAATTGGAACTGGAAGCTGTGGCATGAGACTGAGGGTCTAAAGGGTCCTCACTGTTAAATCCCAGACGATTGTGGATAGCTTAGAATACAGACGTTGCTTTGTCAGATCTTCCCATTTTTCCGGAGAGTCTGGGATTTCAGAACTTTATAAATACTCCGTTGGGTTATGTAAAACAAAACAAAACCCCTCTGTTGCCCAAAGAGAACATATCTCAGAATGAATACCGTCCACTGGGATCCTAACTTAAAATTCCTGAATAGATGATTAAGAAAATCTTTGGGTGGTGACATTCTGTGATTCTGCTTTTCCCACCCTCCTTCTCCCCTTTTTAAATATTTTATTTTTTCCAGCTTTATTGAGATATAATTGACATATAACATTGTGTAAGCTTGAGGTATACAGTGTGATGATTTGATACACATATATATTGTGACATGATTACCAGAATAAAGTTAGTTAACACATTCATCACCAAACATTTTTGTGCGTGTGTGTATGGCGAGAACTTTTAAGATCTGGTCTCTTAGCAACTTTCAAGTATACAATATAGTATTGTTAACTATAGTCACCATGTTGTACATTAGATTCTCAGCACTTATTAATTCTGTATCTGGAAGTTTGTACCCTTTGGCCAACATCTCTCCATTTCCCCCATCCCCCACCTCCTGGCAACCAATTCTACTCTGTGCTTCTATGAGTTTGGCATTTTTTTTAGATGCCACATGTAAGTGAGCTCATACAGTATCTGTCTTTTTCTCTCTGACTTATTTTACTCACCATAATGCCCTTGAGTTCCATCCACGTTGTCCCAAATGGCAGGATGTCCTCCTTTTTGTGGCTGAATAATATTCCAGTGTGTCTGTGTGTGTGTGTGTGTGGGTGTATACACACCATTGTATACCACCATTCGTCTGTCAATGGACACTTAAGTTGTTTCCATGTCTTGCTATTGTGAATAATCCTGCAATGAACATGGGTGTGAGGATATCTCTTCAAGATAATGGTTTTATTTTCTTTGGATATATACCCAGATGTGGGGTTGCTGGATCATATGGTAGTTCAATTTTTAATTTTTTGAGGAAACTTCATACTGTTTTTCATAATGGATGTGTCAATTTACAGTCTCACCAGTAGTGCACTAGAGTTCTCTTTTCTCCACATCCTCACCAACACTTGTTATCACTTGTCTTTTTGATAATAAACATTCTAAGAGGTGTGAGGTGATAGTTCACTGTGGTTTTCATTTGCGTTTCCTTGATGGTTAATGATGTTGAGCATCTTTTCATGTACCTTTTGGCCATTTGTATGTCTTCTTTGGAAAAATGTCTGTTCAGGTCCTCTTTTTAAGGGAAAGAAGCCAATCTGAAAAAGCTATTGCAGGATTCCTACTACATGACGTTATGGAACAGGCAAAACTATGGAGACAGTAAAAAGATCAATGGTTGCCAGAGGTTAGTGGGGAGGGAGGGATGAATACATGGAGCACAGAGGATTTTTAGGGCAGTGAAACTATTCTGTATGATACCATAATGGTGGATACATGTCATTATACATTTGTCCAAACCCATAGAATGTGCAACACCAGGAGTGAACCCTAGCATAAACTATGAACTTTGGGTGACAATGATGTGTCAATATAGGTTCATCAGTTGTAACAAATGTACCACTCTGATGAGGGATGTTGATAATGGGAGAGGCTATGCATGTGTAGGGGCAGGGAGTATATAAGAAATCTCTGTACATTCCACTCAATTTTACGGTGAACCTAAGACTACTCTAAAAAATAAAGTCTATTGGGCCAGGCCTGGTTGCCT